TATATAAAAGGTATCTTCCCTGTGAAAGAACTTCAACAATAAAGTTTAATTAAACGAAGAACCACTCTTTTGCAGAGATGGCTAATGATCCATCAGGTTGTTGCATTACAGCGAGTCCAACCTTCTCTGCTCCCACCGTTAAAAGCATATTTTTAAATTTTATTTTTTATTGAATTTATTGGGCTGACATTGGTTGATAAATTATATAGGTTTCAGGAACACAATTCTACAATATATCATCTGTATATTATATTGTGTGTTTACCACCCCAAGTCAAGTCTCCTTCCATTACCATCACCTCAAGTCAAGTCTCCTTCCATCACCATCATCCCAAGTCATCTTCTTCCATCACCATCACCCCAAGTCAAGCCTCCTTCCATCACCATTTACCCCCTGCCTTTACTCTCTTCTCTCTCCCCCCACTCCTCTTCTCTCTGGCAATCACCATACTGTTGCCTGTGTCCATGAGTCTTTGCTTAATCCCTTTACCCTTCTCACCCAGCCCCCAACTCCCAGCTGTCAGTCTGTTCTCTATCCATGAGTCTGTCTCCACTTTGTTAAGTTTATTTTGTTCATTAGAGTCCACATATAAGTGAAATCATATAGTACTTGTGAATAAAACATGCAAACTGATGCAATAAGTGAATAACTAAAGGCCCAGGACAATATAATAAATAAATCTAACTGTTGATGAAAAACACTTACTATTCTTTGGCAGCCCATGAAAATTACTGGAATGAGAACAACTATACAAGAGAAGGTCACCCAGAACACAGCATCATTACTAAATACTGTTAGGTTTCCTGAAAAAGCAAAAAGAAATAAAGAGTAGACATGTTCACTACATTAAATTTCATTTTCTCAACATTTGAACATGGACATACATAGAAAATTTAATGTATAACAACTAGAGAATGTGTTGGCACTTAGAAATGAATTCACATTTTCTTCATTTAGCTGTCAATACAATCACCTTTGAAAGGTGTGTCCCAGCAGACAGAAGGGTGGGAATAAAATCAAGCAGGTAAATGCTCTGCATTTATTCCCAGGATGATTTACAAGAGGCCTGACTAATCCATGCTCTTCCATCACAGGCTGTGAAGCTAGGCCTCAGTTTCCTAACCCATAAAATGAGAAGATTGAACCACTTCATCTCCAAACTCCAAACCATCCATTCCAGCTCTAAATTTTTATGATTCCATGATTTTGTACTGCAAAGTAAAAAATACAAGGAAATGGGATTTAGAGCTAATGATATGAACTCCCACCCAACTGAGGCAGCAAAATCCATTTAGTAGATTTTTACCATCAATCAGATCCTGCCCAGCCACTGCATACTGGAAGATGTGATCTCCTAATGCATCAGGAAAGACAGGAGCTAACCACCTATCTGTTCCTACTAAATTTTTCCAAAAGGAAAAACAATGAGAATTTAAGCCTGACAATTATTATTATTATTATTTTTAATCCTCACCCAAGGACATTTTCCATTGATTTTTTTAGAGAGAGTGGAAGAGAGAGGAAAAGAGAGAAATACTGATGTTAGAGAAACACATGGATTGACTGCTTCCTGCATATGCCCTGACCAGGGCCTGGGCCGGGGAGGAGCCTGCAATCTAGGTGCATGCCCTTGACTGGAATCAAACCCGGGACCTTTGGTCCACAGGCCGACACTCTATCCACTGAGCCAAACCAGGTAGGGCCTGAGAATTATTTAATACTGACAGTGGCACCATCACTCAGTCCACCTGGAGGTAGCCCCACATCTTGAGACCCATGTATCCTGGAAGAGTAGGAGTTCTATAAATCCCACATATAAGTGAAATCATATGGTATTTGTCATTCTCTATCTGACTTATTTCACTCAACCCAATACCCTCTAGGTCCACCCATGCTGTAGCAAATGGTAAGATTTCATTTTTTTTTTCAGGTTGAGTAATATTCCATTGTACATGAGTACCACAGCTTTTTTTATCCACTCATCTATTGATGAGCACTTTGGTTGCTTCCATATCTTGGCTACTGTAAATAACACTGCAATTAACATAGGGATGCATATATTCATTTGAATTAGTGCTTTGGGTTCCTTCTGATATATTCCCAGAAGTGGAATTATTGGGTCAGAAGGCAGTTCCATTTTTAATTTTTTGAGGAACCTCCATACTGTTTTCCATCATGATTGCACCAATCTGCATTCCCATTAACACTAATTGAAAAATAAAAATAAAAAAAGCTACCTGCAAACGGGAGGGGGGGGGGAAGGGGGGCTGTGGGAATGAACCTGGCTTTAGGTTTGCTAAAATTAGAACAAAAGGGCCTCTTAATGGTCAGTAAAGGTTGTCAATTCTCTCTGGTCTTAAAAAAAAAAATCTTTATAGAGCACCAAATACATTCTGTTATACCCTGTGTTCTCAAAGTTGATAGCCTCAAAAGACAACTATACTTATTTCTAACATTTCCATCTACTTTAATCTGATATTGCAATATAAAAACTAAATAAAACATAAAAAAGAAATAGCCTAATAGAGTTCCTTGGAATGTAGATACTCTTTTTCCATGTTTGACAACAATCAGGAAATGTAAGTTATTGCACAACTGCAAAGAAAGTTAACTTACAAGTTAACCAGACTTTTTCCATGGATCGAAATTGAATTATGTAAAAAAAATCAAAACAAACAAAAAACCAGAACCATCCCTGTGCTGCGGCCCTAAGATGACTACAAGTAGGTACCTGAGGAACACAAAGTTTGGCAAAGGGTGGGAGTGGAGGTTCGGGGTAAAAGAGAAGACTGAGAAAAGCACTGAGTTCCCCAAGTCAGCTACCGTCAAAGCAGCACCCAATTTACCTGCGGGCTCTATTGGGCTTCTACTTAAGATTCGTCTGAGGAAAGAGTTCCAGGGTTTAAAAAAATAAAGAACAAAACCCCCTGTTTTGCTGTATATTAAGAATGCATTTTCCCCCACTAATTCTAACAGAAACAGACTTAGACACACACCTTATCTCACAAATAGGAACAAAGCTGTCTCTAAAGGCCTTCTATAAGTCATCTATACAGGTATCTTTGAGGAAAGAGGGCTTCTTATTTGTACTGGCCCTCCCTAAGTGCCACATCATCAAGTGCCAATTTCCAGAACTCTATAGAAGACCCCACATCCCTGATGAGCAGTACTTGTACCTAGAGAGCCCAAATAAGACCTTTCAAACAATAAACTGAACGCACGCAACACTGAGTTACGCATCTCTTACCCAACGGAGTGAAGAAAGTCACTGAAGAGATGAAGAAGCCCAGCACTAATCCAACACACAGCATGCAGAGCGTGAGGATGCCAAATCGCCACCAAGCAGCTACCAAGAAAATCCCACCAAGACTTCCGGCGATGGCTGTCAGAACCAGACGAACTGCACAAAGACAGAAGAGGAACTGTGTGACCTGAGGTGGCTTCTCTGACTGCCTGCTTTAGATGCAACAGACCATTGCCAGGGCCGCCCTTAGACTTTCTGTTGGTCAGGCACCAACAGAGGTGGGTGGGCTCTTCAGTGGTGCCATGAGACCAACATGGGCATGCTCTCTCTCGCGCTCTCTCTCTCTCTCTCTCTCTCTCCCCCCGGAGGCACCAGTCTGAGGCATGAACCCTAGCTGGAGGGCTAAACCTCCCAGGACTGGTGACAGGCATGACTTGGCACAACCCATACCAGTGATGGCGAACCTTTTGAGCTCGGCGTGTCAGCATTTTGAAAAACCCTAACTTAACTCTGGTGCCGTGTCACATATGGAAATTTTTTGATATTTGCAACCATAGTAAAACAAAGACTTATATTTTTGATATTTATTTTATATGTTTAAATGCCATTTAACAAAGAAAAACCAACCAAAAAAATGAGTTCGCGTGTCACCTCTGACACGCGTGTCATAGGTTCGCCATCACTGACCTATACATTAGGGCTGAGGAAGAAGGAATGACAAGCATTCTGTTAAACAAGACAAGGACAGAGGGGTTGTGTTTGTTTTAAGGCAGTGGTTCTCAACCTTCCTAATGCCGCGACCCTTTAATACAGTTCCTCATGTTGTGGTGACCCCCAACCATAAAATTATTTTCGTTGCTACTTCATAACTGTAATTTTGCTACTGTTGTGAATCGTAACGTAAATATCTGATATGCAGGATGTATTTTCATTGTTACAAATTGAACATAATTAAAGCATAGTGATTAATCACAAAAACAATATGTAATTATATATGTGTTTTCCGATGGTCTTAGGCAACCCCTATGAAAGGGTCGTTCGACCCCCAAAGGGGTCGCAACCCACAGGTTGAGAACCACTGTTTTAAGGTGAAGAAAATCTTAACATTTTGACTGTTATATATCTCATATTTCAGTACACCACATAGCTGAAACACAGGTTTATAATCCATAGGGACCTTTCATTTCCCTAAATACCAAGTAATTTACCAAGTACCAAAAACTTGGACGAGAAGGTCTGAACAAGCAGTTTAGAAATGATGTTTAGACTACAGGTTTTACATTATTTTACACACAAAATAGCATATCATACACAATACTGGACAAACTGTAGAAGCAAAGGTGGCGTGTAAACACAGCATCTTCCTTTTGAACACCTAATTAAGCTATATTATTTTTACTTACCATCATACTTAATAGGTGTCAGTCTGGTAATCAGTATATAAAAGAAGAATCCCATGAAGATAAAGCCTATGAAGAATAATTCTAGTAGCAAACCATCAGGAAAGGAAAAAAACACAAGCTATGGTTAGGTATTCTTTTTACAATGCAATTTAAGTATTTAATGTATAAATTCACGCTTCCACATTAGGGCATTTGGAGGAGAGAAATAATTATCTAAAAGGCAGGGAAAATGTAGAATTTATGGGGAGTAAATATTACTATTAAATGGGCACACTATTAAAGTGTTAACCATAGGTTATACCTTCTTGTATTTAGGTCAATTTCAATTGCTAAGTTGTTAATTTCAGAGCTCATTTTAATACAGTTATACTTCCTTCTTAAAATAAGAATAGTACTTCTGTCATTGTGTCTGATCTGAAATTGCACACTAAATTTCAACTTAAGAGAAAATAAAATTTAAAAGGTAAAAAAAAAAAAGCCACACAAAATATTCCAAAGCAAAATGTGACTTTTATGTCTCCTTTTAATTCATCCTTTCCTTTTTAGAATGAACAATCCAACTATTATCTTCATCCGTTAAAATACCTAGTAATATCTTTGGGGCCTTACATGCAGCTTCGGAATTAAATTCTTTGTTACAGAATCATTCTACACTTTGAGGAATTAAATATTCTTCACAATCATCTCTTCTCAATCAAGAAAAAAAGGTATAGTGATGGAGGAAAAGGAATTGCTATTTCAAACAATTTGTTTAAGCAAGTTTAAAGAGTTTTATGAGATCAGGATTATGTTCACTCTCCCCCTGATGCTCCATTTATACTCCTTGTTAATGAATTATACATGGAGTCCTACAGCCTGATTTATATGAAACCATGTCGACCACCAACACTGAAATCCACACACATACATATATTTTTTTACATTGACATCCTGATTCCTAACCTGTTATCTTTAACCAACTAGGAAATCTAGCAAATGAAGAAGTTTGCTGCACAAATCCCATTTTATTCCACTAACAAGAGGACGTGGTAAACTCCATTATTGCGAAAAGAGAAAAAATAAAAATGCAGAGCAACTCAGTAGAATCTTTACTAAAACAACCCAACCACAAGTTTATGAAGACAATGGAGGTCAACAGTTGCTTACTCTCCTTACAGATCATCAATTCCCCACAGCACTTAAGAAAAAAGACCATGAGGCATGCAATAGCAACTACATCAGACATAATACCTGTTTTCCAGAATCTGTGTCCAAAGAAACAAATGAAGAGACCAAGCAGGGCAAAAAGAGTGAAAAACACTTTGGTCGATACTCTTCCTAAAAATAACGAAAATTTAGTGAATAATACATGCAATTTGATACTTTGTATTTAATCAATAGAACAAAGCTTCATGAAAAAAGCAAAGTCAACTGACAGTAATTTATTCCATACATGTATAATTTATTTTAAACATATCCTGGTCACCCCTAAATGAATTATTGTACGTAGGCAATGGCTGCTGGCATAACAACAAAAAAAAAGAAAGAAAAAAAGATATGCTTCCTGATAGGAGTATGTAACATATTCTTGGGTGAGGGGGCAGGAGGAAGTGGGAAAGGAGGAGAGAGTGTACCTAAAACAAATAATTCTGTTTCTTCAAAAATAAACTACAGCCTGGCCGGTGTGGCTCAGCGGTTGAGTGTTGACCTATGAACCAGGAAATCATGGTTCGATTCCCCAGTCAGGGCATATGCCTGGGTTGTGCGCTCAACCCCCAGGAGGGGGGTGTGCAGGAGGCAGCTGATAGATGATTCTCTCTCATCACTGATGTTTCTATCTCTCCCTCTCCCTTTCTCTCTCTGAAATCAATAAAAACATGTTTTTAAAAATAAAATAAACTACAATACATTCATCAGCATCATGACTCCTTTGAGATAAACACAAGAAAATAATCCCTAAACTAAAACCAAATACAAAACACCTATATAAACTCATGTGAAAAAACTCACCACCAATCAAAACACATAAAACACTTAAGACTCAGATGGAAATACCACAAAGACCTACATTTAAATGAGAAACATAAGATAGAAGACCAGAATTTGTAGGACACAATATATTCCTACATAGCAGCTTTGCTGAGAATGAAGAACCCAAATGAAAGATGAAATGAAAGACAATGCCACATTCTGCTTAAGACCTGTGGTTGGAAACTGATGAAGGGAAGGAATTTAGCCCACTCTTTTAAAGGAGGAACTGTAATTCATCCCAAGTTGATGACCAAAAGCTCTTCTTAAAAGAAGAATGCTAAATAGAGCTATCTATATAAATAAAAAGCAAGCGACCGGAACGACCAGTCGCTATGAGGCCCACTGTGGCCAGTGAACTGGCCCGATCAGGAGGTGGGGCTGGCCCACCCCTGAATGGACTCTCCCACCCCAATCAAGGGCGGGGTGGGCAGGGTGGCCAGCCAAACAGCATGATGGCACGAGGGTGTGACAACCATTTGCATATTAGCCCTTTATTATATAGGATTACCATATCCTATATAATAAAGGGCTAATATGCAAATTATCCCCTCAACTGGGAGTTTGACCAAGGAGTGGGGCCGGCCAGCCAACCACCTGTGGCCCCTCCCCCTGGCCAGCCCTGCCCCTGATCAGCCCCCCTAACCCCAATCAGGGACAGGGCTGGCCGGCCCACCGCCCTCAGCCCCTCCCCATGGCTGGCCCCACCCCCATTTGGTCCCCCTACCCCAGTTGGGGGCGGAGCCAATCGCCCATGGCCCCTCCCCCCAGCCGGCCCGGCCCTGATCAGCCCCAATAGGGGCGGGCCAGCTGGCCAGGCTCCCGCCATCTCCTTCTCCCAATAGGCCCAGCCCCCATCAGCCCCGATTGGGGCCGGGCCAGCTGGACCCCACCCATGCACGAATTTGTGCACTGGGCCTCTAGTAAATAGAATAAAAAGCAAACAGCAAAATATGTTAACTAGCATTTGAAGAATCTGGGTGAAGATTATACAGACATTGTTACTATTTTTTCATCTTTTCCATGAAACCATTTCAAAATAAAATGTTAAGTACACACACACACTGCTATCTTCCAGTGCTGGGAACAGAGAGCAGAGAGTGGAGTAGTGTAGGGGCTTAAGAGGCATCTGTAGAATGAATGAATGAATACTACACAAAAACATTTTCAATATTCTTAAGTTCTATATTAGTTGATATAGATCTTCAAAGAAGAGTTTGCAAAGTTTAAATCCATATACTCACCAAGAGAAGAACAATTACCCTCCATTGCGTCAAAGCTGCAAGCATATGTGTGAGCAGGAACATAAGCAGCAGATGTATTGAGAACTGGGTCCCAAACAATGACATTATAAATGACACCTTGTCCCCGGAGGGAGGAGAAGGAAACACTTGTCTTATCATTAGCTGTTAGAGTAACCATCTGAAACCAAACATAATGCATGCTTAGTGTTCAGAATTTTTTAAAGGCTATTCTGTTTTAATCCACCTACATGTGATATCAAATTATAATATTAAATTATATTTCTTTTTGAAAAATACACCAACATGTTTAGTTTTATCAAAAGATTGTCATACACAGTTTGTATGCACTAATATAAACAAGCTCTTACACAAAATGTTTCTAAAGTTTTTGTATAGTGTTAAATGTTAATAATTAAATAAAATAAGATATATGTAAAGACTAATTAGGACAAAGCAAAAATATTTTTTTCTTACCTGCTAGACTGTAAACAACATAAGGGCAGGAACCATATTTATTTTGCTCACTAGTCTTTCCTCAATACTTAACACAATGCATGGCACAAGAGTGAGTGTTCAACAAGTGTTAGCTATTACTACTAGTTACAGAGCTGACAAAGTTTGTTAACACCTCATAGAGTACCAACTTATTTTTAACAGGCTCTGAAATAAAAAGACATTACATGTAGTTGTTATGCAATACTCCCTAACTTCAAAAATTCCCTTTTAAAGGTTGTTTTTAAAAAGGGTAATACATGTCCTAAAAGAAACAAAAAACCTATTCTATATAATAAAGAGGTAATATAGAATTGACTGTCACACCCTCACACAAGATGGTCGCCCCCATGTGGTCACGAGATGGCCACCACAAGATGGCCGGCAGGGGAGGGCAGTTGTGAACAATCAGGCCAGCAGGGGAGGGCAGTTTGGGGGGACCAGGCCTGCAGGGAGGGCAGTTAGGGGCAACTGGGCCTGCAGGGGAGGGCAGTTGGGGGTGACCAGGTCAGCAGGGGAGGGTAGTTGGTGGCGATCGGGCCAGCAGGGGAGCAGTTAGGCATCGATCAGGCTGGCAGGGGAGTGGTTAGGGGGTGATCAAGCTCCAGGCAGAAACAGTTAGGGGAAATCAGGCAGGCAGGCAGATGAGTGGTTAGGAGCCAGCAGTCCTGGATTGTGAGAGGGATGTCTGACTCCCTGTGGGATCAGGCCTAAACAAGCAGTCAGACATCCCCCAAGGGGTCCCAGATTGGAGAGTGTGCAGGCTGGGATGAGGGACAAACCCACCCCCCTGCACGAATTTCGTGCACTGAGCCTCTAATATAATCATAATACATAGCTATGTTCCTATTAATAAGTGAGAAAATTAGAGTTTCAGGAATAATTTTGCGCCGCTTAGAGGACTTCCACTGCTCACAAATATTGCTTAGCTTTCACAAATATGTTTCCTGGGCAAAGTATTCGGTCAAGTTCCACAAGACGTACTTTCTAGTCACCCACATTTTTATTATGAAACCTTCTTTACAGAAATAGGAAAAGAATAATACAATTAATAAACTACATCACACTAATTAGATTTTACCACTGTTGATATTTTACCATATTTGCTTATCTATCCCTTCCTCCTTCTCTTTGCCCTTCTATTTTTTTCTGTGAAATCATTTTAAAGTAAGTTACAGATATCATGACATTTCACTTCTAAATAACGCAGTATGCATGTCCTAAAACAGTGTTTCTCAAACTTAATGTGTCTATGAATCACTGGATAGTTGTTAAAATTCGGATTCTGATTCTGTTGGTCAGAGCAGGTATCTGACCTTCTGTTTTTCTAACAATCTCTCTGACCACCTCAATGCTATGCATCCATCTACTGCACTCTGAATAGCAAGGTCTGGTGCATAAAGGATCTCCTAAATACCCACAATACCTCAGCTCACCTAAGAAGTTTAATAAATTCCTACCTATTACAAATTCCATATTTGGGTTTTTCTAAACATCTTTTATAGCTTTTCTCCCCTTTAACCAAGATCCAACCAAGTTGCATGCACAGTATTTATCTCTAGTCTATGTAATCTAGAACAGTCCTTCCCACCACCCTACTCCCACTCACCCAATAACTTCTGAAGAGATTAAGGGCAGTCACTTTATAGATTATTCCACAATCTGCATTTTTGAGATTGTGCTCAACGTGTCCAATTTGTACTTTCACCTCCTATGTTTCCTGTAAACAGGAAGTCCAAGGACTGAATTCAGGCTATGCTTTGCTAGTATCCTTTTCAGGTGATGATAATGGTGACAATGTCAGACTGCCTTCATGTTAGCACCTAATGCAGGTGAACCCACTATCAGTGAGGCTGTGCTGATTACAGGGATAAGAAGGAGACAATCAGGTTACTCCTTCTAAAAACAGTGGACACTTTACAATTAGAATCTGGGCAGGCTATTTAGGCATCCCGGAAATATCCTGTCCCCCACCAATCTTTCACCTAATGATCCTTGCCTGAATTACTGCATTGAGGGTCACAAAATGGAGATTTTTCTAATTCAAATTATGTCTTCAACATTTATTAGTTGGCACTGTTTCTCTCATCAATTGAGAATGAATTACAGTTCCTCCCTCAAAAAAGGCAAGACAAATTCCTTCCCTTTTAACAAATTTTCAGGATAATTTGGTGTAAGAGCCTTTTCTAATGGTAGCAACTGGGGAGATTTTTTTTTCTTTTTTGTATCAGTATAGATCAGTGATGGCGAACCTATGACATGCGTGTCAGAGGTGACACACGAACTCATTTTTTTGGTTGATTTTTCTTTGTTAAATGGCATTTAAATATATAAAATAAATATCAAAAATATAAGTCTTTGTTTTACTATGGTTGCAAATATCAAAGAATTTCTATATGTGACATGGCACCAGAGTTAAGTTAGGGTTTTTCAAAATGCTGACACGCCGAGCTCAAAAGGTTCGCCATCACTGGTATAGATCTTGTTTTTACTTATTCAAGACTTATAATCAATCATTTTATTTATTTATTTATTTTTTAAAAATATATTTTATTGATTTTTTACAGAGAGGAAGGGAGAGGGATAGAGAGTTAGAAACATCGATGAGAGAGAAACATCAGCTGCCTCCTGCACATCCCCCACTGGGGATGTGCCCGCAACCAAGGTACGTGCCCTTGACTGGAATCAAACCTGGGACCTTTCAGT